TAAAATAAATTTATACACCGCTACTCTTCCCCTGGGTGTCATATACCCGACTAAAGGAAACACACTTGACGGAGACTGGGCAGCAAGCAACGCTTAACTGCAATCTCCAATCCACTCATAAAACATGAATATTATTATTCCGCGGTAGACTTGACAGGTAACCGGGGCTCCCTATGTGAAAGTAGGAACGGGGTGGTTTTTAGTCAGTAAGAGTCTGACACTCCCTCTCGCCTCACCCAGGCGGGAGCAGCCATTGGATGACTTTCCCCCTCAAAAAAGCTAGGATATTATGCGATTACTGTCAAATATCAAATGGTTTTCGAATCAATAAAGTTGTAAACTGATTAAAATAACATTCAATATAACATTACGCCTTTTAACCCACGGAAGGGGTAGGCATTATACAGTTAGCAAATGTAACACTTACATTTCACCTGTTATGTTATAGTAAGTCCCATGTAATAATAGGTACAGAATATTTTGACATAGGTAACTAGTTTTATTCAAGGAATATTTCATTGATGTCTTTATTTTATCGATTGTTGTTTACAAAGTGTATCCAGTTACTTTAATTGTTTTTTAACCATTATAATAAAGAAATAAATAAATAATATGGAGCTCCATACCAAACTGCATGTTTTTTACTGAAAAACTTTAAAAATATCAATTTTATTACGTTTTCAAAACGCTGAAAATATTAATAACACCACCCGACTCGAAAATCGACCTTCAATATCTATTCACTCTTTAACAAACAAGTTGTTTTTACACAAAACCGAAAATATAAATCAGTTTACCCGACCCAGCAATCAAACCCCGATACCTCTAGCTCCACATACTTATTATAATTAAATAAACATGCTTTGTTATTAAATGTACAATTGAATATATAAATATTAAAAATAAATAATAATAATAAAATAATATGAGTAGCAAAGACTGTACGGTGACTAAACAGCAATTTCAACCAAATGGATACGACACGCGGCGCGCTCACACTACGTGAAATATTATCGATGAACTCTTTATTATTATTATTACTTTGTTTTAATCTTATTTCGTGGTTTATTTTTATATTTTAGTTGTATTTTTATAGTTTTTTCATAGTTTTAGGTGTAGTTTGAGTTGTTTTATATCAGTGTATGGTTTGAATTTGTTTATTTTGTGAGTAAAAGGTTAAATTTTTATAGAAATTATTTCGAGTTGATTTCTTGTTATTACTGTTTTTAATGATTGTAAGTTCGTGGCAAAATTGAGGAAAGAAGTTTAAATTGAATAATTTGATAATCAAACAAAAGAATTGGTAAATTTTTGCATATATCTTCCAAAATACCATTTATTTCAAGAAAAAACCTAACAAACATAATGAACAATCACATTTATAACACCATCAAACATAAGAGTAACAAAAAAAATAATTTTATAAAGAAATATTTGATAAAATTAAAGATATTTAAATAAAAATATTGTAAAATTTTTCCTCCCGTGTGTTAGCACTGACCCGTACGCCGCTTGCTTCAGCAAATGAATGTGTACAGTCGTTGTACATACTACGGACACTTTTAAACGTACATTTTTAAATAATAAATAAATATATGATGAATCTATTGCATTTTTATAAAAGTACCTTTTTGAAAACTTATTTTTGTGGATCATTTCCAAATTGACGTAAAGTATGATATAAAATTACATTTGACAATCAAAATAGTTAAGTAGTCACATTTATTGTTAAATTAAACAGATTTTCGATGAAAATTATAGTCAAAAACATGTTACTTCATTTTACATTTAGATCATACTAAATATTTGTCAGTAAAATATACTAAAATCGCACTATAAAATAAAAAAAACTACAATATAACTGTGAATGTTTTTGGTTTTATGTTTATGCTCTGTTACGCAAAAACTACTGAACCAATCTAGATGAAAGACGGCACGGAGATAGAATTATAATACATTAAAATAGTGCGGAAGAAACCGCAGGCAAAACCTACATATTTTATAAATCTTCTGATGGATTGTCAATATATTATTATAGTCACTTTATTATCCTTAGTTCTCAGTAAATATTAAACAGGTTTAGTTATAATTAATACTACACAGGTATGTATAAGTGCTTACAATTTTTCCGTAAGATATTTTCCTTAATTGCTTAAGTGTGATGAAATACGTGATATTGTTTGTTTGTCCCGTTGCCTTGGCAACGTACGCCTTATACACAAGATACTTATTTATTACAGAATAACATCAAAACTGAACTGAATGAATCAGGTATTTGTGTATTTGGCGCCGTTTTTTTGACAGCTGTCATTGTCACTGTCACTGTCAATATTTTATTTAAAATTTGATGTTTTAAGTACATGATATTGATGCATACAGCCAATGAAAACGTTGTCTTTAAAAAAAATAATGACGTCCAATAAATAAAAATGTTATAATATGAATTAAATACCTACATCTTGCGTAGAGGTCGGCGTTGTATTTATTACAGCAACTGAATAAACAAACACGCAGGTACATTATAGGCACATTAATAACGTATTTAAGTTTAAAAATAAATAATATAATGTTCTACCTGTTTATGTCTAGGCAGATATGGAATTTAGAACCTAAATATTGTGTACCAACCATAAATTGAGCTATTTGCCTTGCTATTAGTATAAATGTATTAAGTACGTACTTAAATAGATATTAACAACAGCGGCATATAGGAAAATCATTAAATAGTTCCATAATATGTAGGTATAATGTGCATTCATTTCTAAAAAAGAGGATTTGTAGGCCATAGATACTTTTAGAAGTAACGGAAAATTTTCAGCCACGCCCTTCGAAAATCCATGATACTTATGTTACGTATGGCCTATTTCTAGAAGATCTCTGTTAACCATTTAAAGATGGATAAAGAAATCTTCAAGTATAGTATTGTTTACATATTTTCTGCAGCTCGTGTGATCCTTACACGTTGGTTTTTAAACATGACACGTCTTTGCTTCTGACTCATTCAAAGATAATATAAATAAACACACACATAACTACAATACTTCACTTAGATAATTTCATTTCGTACTAAATATAACGTATTTATAACATTACCTAAAGATTATACAGTGAAATTACAAAAAATGTCGCGAACGACTTTATACTGGCATTCTAAATGAATATTTACTCCTTCTCCGAAAAAAAAAGTAAACTTAAGATGGCGGCGTTCGATTTTTCTTACCGTTTTGCGTAAGGTCATTGTTGGTTACAAAAAACTATCAAAGAAATAATTGATTTCGTTAATTACCTAGTTAATGGTGAATGACATGATTATATCACTAATTTGATTTTAAAATTACAACCTTCGATATTACATAATCGAATAAAAATTGTAAATACATATAGCTAGCAGCCATTTTGAAATCTTTATTTCGCGCCAAAGTCACTCAAAAATTGTGTTTGGTGATGTTCGACACTCGTTTATGAAGAGTATCGATTGTAAATCGATTAGAAATCGTAACTCGTGTGCATTTCAATAGCATTTTGCGGAAATCCATAGGCTAAGCTAAAAATAAATTAACTAAAATACCGGACTGTCTATAATATGAGAGTGTAGTATACGCGCGACTTGCAGATGGTTTTGAAATTATATTTTCGAGTATTATACATATTGATTTTTAGACATCAAAATAATTGAGTACTTATTTACCTATTTCTAGCAGGATATGGAATATAAGCACTGTTTTTTTTAAATGTTTTGTATAAAAACAATAATTTTATTGACTAAACAATAACACTAATTAATAAAGATAATGATTTAAATAACTATTTACTTTTTTATATACCTGCGATACTACTACTATGTCCTTATAATAGGTAATATAATATAGTCTTCCTTTTTTATATTGTCACGTCAGAGACGTTTATAATTAGGTATAGGTACTTAGGTAATTACTAGACTAGTTAAATCATTTTATTTATTAAACAGTTAAAAACGCAAACATACGAAGTTATAACGTATTATAGTTTTCATTTCTTACTAAGCTATGGACGCATGACTGTACAGCATCGCATTATGATTGCATGTCAACAAAAGAAACTTTTTAAACATAGATAACAAATTTCAAAATAGGTACATGCAAATATCTAAAACTCTTTCTAACACCATCCGGCAGATTCAATTTTAATGACTAACACAAAGAAACAAAAAGTTTTTTGTCCTGGCAACAGAAAAAAAATAAAGGATTCATTATAATATTATTTGTTAATCTTTTTCCTTTCCTTGTACTATGACAATCTTTATTTACGTAAAAAATATGTATAGAAACTGTTTTCGTTGTGTGCGTGCGAATCTTGGTGTGAGTGTAGGGTTGTCACTTGCTTGTGAATTAGTTTTAATTTTGATTTTTATTCATTTTTTTTATTTAATGCAATTTCGACATCAGTATGTTGGTTATCAAAAGTGTGAATAGTATTTTTTATGGAAAATAACCATTTGAAAATTATCTCAGTGAAGATTCGATACAACACGGACTTTTAATAAATTATTATGTAATTTGCATTGCATTAATTCAATAGTAATTTATTTAATTACCTATCCGATAAAGTGTAAGCGACAATCAATATGATAATGATTATCAGTGAAATTAATAATGTTGATTTACAATTCAATTCAATTAAACGAAGTTTAGGTACGATAGTTCTACATAAAAACTGGTTCAAATATGCACAAAAAAAATTATCAGCTTGCTCGTATGTTTGTCAATAAGAACGTAAATAAAATACCTACTGACAATAAATTTTGGAAATAAACCTTCAATCAATGTCGCAACTACAAGGTCAATCACTTTCATTAATAACAGAGATAAAACAACAACAACGAACAATTTTCTCTTAAAAAGTATAAAATTAAAAATTTAATAAAAGAAATTTTGAAATCACAAAGCAGCCCTACAAGTCGACGTGTGAGCGGGCAAGAGAATACGAAATGAAAACGAACACAGATACGGTTTGGCCGCGAAGCGACATGGCCGCGCGCGATTACAGCGTTACGCGCGCTCGTGTTTTCCCTCAAATCTCACGAAATACGCCATATTGTTTTATTGTCCACTATTATTTATAATTAACAAAACATTTCCTAAACAAACACTGTGAAAATTCAAAGTTAAAACTTCAAACATAAACGTATTATGTCAAATGGTAGATGTCATCATTACCATTAAAACGATAATTGTAATATTTTATTTATCTCGTTTTATCACGATCAACGATTCGTTGTGGACGTGTGTAATTTGAAAATCAGAAATTATGTTTTGTAATTAAATATACGTGTATGTACGTGTGTGTGAGTGCTTCTAAAAATATTACATTAAAAAAAACTGTGTTTAACCTGTGTTGTTAATTTTAGTGCAATGTTCTAGTGTGTACGTACTTACGTTGAAAAAGAATGCATTTATAAATTGCCATTGTTTTAATATTATTATTTAGCAAAATGTGTGTGATTGTGCAGTGATATGAATTATCCTTTGTGTTTCGGATTGTAAAAATGGATAAACCCTCTTTCAAGGTACGACATTACTTTTTAATACTGAGATAATCTTTGATTTATATTGCAAACATTTATGACCGGTCGATACGAGTACTTTTCTATTTACGTAATTTGCATAAATCGATTATGATTTGTTGTGTTTATGTGGTTTTAAATACGTAATTATTGCATTTAAGCCTTTGTGTATGATTTGAATCGATACGTATTGAGTGATCAGATAATAATCGGCAGTCAAAATACTCGAGTAAACGCGTGACGTCATCTATTGTCTTCTCTCTAGTTCGTAAGAACTGTTCACACTGCACGGATTTCTTACATTTGTTTTGAAACAAAAACTTGGCGATCATTCAGGACTCAAGTTTAATAATTCATTATTAACAATAGTTCGGTCATTAAAAGATCTTTATAGATAGGTAATTATACGTAAGAGTATTCGAAAGAAAATGTTATTATTATTACTCTACCCTGTCTCTGTGTCCGCCATATCAGCAACTACTAGTGATGTGGCGCAATAATAAAATTATCGACATCGATGTTACGAAATTTCAATTAAGTTTAACGTTTATGATTTTTTATTCATTTTGTGTTAGAGTTTATGGTTTTTGTATGATCGATTAGTCACCGGTTGATTTATCGACCTCGTTTTATCGTTGGCAATTCCATTTTTATAAACGTTATTCAGGCATTAAATGAAATATTTAGTGGTTTTCTGTGGAGTTAGACATATTTTTATTTTAAAAATGTATGAAGAATGATTAAATTTTTTATATTAAGAATTCAATTTCTACATTCCTTCGCTTATTATATATCTCTTCGAGATTGATTTGAAATTTAAATTAGTCGATCCATATTATATTGAGTTAATTAACTTACGAACGACGTCGAGTTTGTTTAGTGATGACATATTGCCAACAAAGTAAATAAACGTAATTTAAACAAATATTTTCATGAGTTTCGTAACTTTAACTTTTATTTTTGTACTTACGTGTGGCTGGAGCGAGTATATTTTTGTGCAGCCACGCTTCAGTAGGTCATTTCGGTACTAAATATTTAAATCATTGTCTAAATAAAGTTAACGCGACCTGGTTTTTTGACTGCCATCTTGGATAAAACTACTTAAAACGTTAAATTAGATACATAAACATAGATACGTTATGTTTTACTGACAACACAAGGGCTGTATTTCACGCACCTGTCTCGTTTGTTTATTCCCGACTAATTTTTACACAAATATCCAATAAAACTACTACGTTATGTGTTCTTTCTGGCTAATGCAAAAAAGCGATGCTGACGTCACTCGCTCGCCATTCAACGATCAAAATTGGCGTTTATAATAAGATTTTTGTCCATTTTAAAATCATCCGCCAACGCAGCGCGAGAATACTTCGGGTAATCGGCGACCCATAAACCCTAAATTAGAACATCTATTTATATGCACCATGTCTCACTCTAGGACTGGTTTATTACCGTTTACTTTAATTTATTGAGCTATTGTTTCGTTAGAAGAAACTGTTGACTGGTTAGAAACATTTTTATTTTAATTGCGCCAATGTGAAGATTTTAATGTGACCCTCTTTTGTTTATCGCATAAGATATTATCTTAGTACATAATAATTGTTTATTCGTTCGGATATTATCAGTAAAGCGATTAAATATTTATTTAATGTGATTAAAGAGTTTTTGTCGTTTTTCTTACAAATTGAGTACATTTAATGTAATTAATAATGCATAATTCTTAATATAATTGTACATGGAATTTATAATCCCGTGAGTATTGTGTACATCGGTCACTGGTATGAATATCAGACTTTCTATTATTTTATATTCAACTGTTTTATGGCTAGTGTACAATATGTTTACTCTTGATGTGCCTTTAATAATTAAATAAATAATCATTACTCAAATTACTTTCAAAAGTACATTTAAATTGATTTTCTCGTCGCAAATGAAGTTTACTTCAGAAGTTATTTTTAAATTCATCGTTAATGAAGTAAAAAGGAAAATAATGAATGCAATGCTCACTGCACACAACACAGGTGAATCCACACCGCACTATCAGTTAAATTTAACCTTAGCAACAAAATAGAAACCGTATCTACTCATGTTTATTTACGTAACGGTTTATAGGTCGCAACGCTTCAAAGAATCTTGATACTTAAACCTGACTAGATAAAGATGAAATCGCTTTGATGCGCTTCTGACCGTATCAGTAAGCACAGAATGTCGGAAATGATAATTATTAAATAAAAAGTACAATAGTCTAATAAATATATTTCGGACTGACTTAATGATTGTTTTTATTAGCATATAGACTTGAATGTCGTAACGTGAGTAAATATAATAGTAATTAATATAATTTGAAATATCAATGCCGTCTCATAACTTGAAGTGAATTTAAATTTTAATAAGTAACTTTTATATGTTTTTTTTTTTGCTATAAAAACATAAGGATGTACTTAAGTTTGATTTATTTCGTACGTAGTCAAGTTAATTACGATTGCATAACATCGTTTATGTATGTTAGTTTTTATTTAATAACATCAATCGTTAAAAAACCTAAACTTAACTATCGATATCTATTGATTATTATCGATATTGGCGCCCCATCTCACTATCTATGGTAGCCATTCTATGCTTTTATGGCGGCATTCGATCCATTTTTTTTTACAATGAACTGGAATAAAGCATCCATTTTTCCGATAATAGCGAAGTATTTTATACAAATATAACAGCTACGATAGTTAATTATTGTTTAAAAATATGTTTCATTGCAAAATATCGATTTGTTTGAACAAAAAGATTCCACGAAGTTCCATAATCTTGACTGTGCGAAATTCACTCTTATATCTATCACCATACAGTCCTCAATACGAATGAAATTGATGTGATTGTTGTAGAATAACGCCTAGGTATTTTGGGTATTAAAAATAACAACATTAGGTAATAATGGCTCTGTTATTGTTATTGTTTAGATTTTTGCAATGGTTTTCCCACAAATAACTAACTGTTATCGGGTATTTTAATTTCCCTGTAAGCTGTTTACGGTATTTTTAAAGTTAGGTATTGATTTTACCCTATTTACGTTTTGCATATTTGTCAAAATTTTAATTGCACTCGAGACAAAGCGGATACAGATGAAGACAAATCTTATTATTTTACTAATACTATAACTGCCTCGTTGGCCGTGTGGTCGCAAGTGCGACTGCCGGGCAAGGGGTCTCGGGTTTGATTCCCGGGTCGGACAAAGTACTACTGGGTTTTTAAAAAATATCTCATTAGTAGCACGGAGTCTGCAAATGTGCCCGGTATATGGTATTACATGGGACTCATAACATAAATAGTGAAAAGCGGGTGTTACTTCTGTGTGCGGGTGCACCTCTGCCTACCCCTTCGGAGATAAAAGGTGTGATGTTATGTTGTCATGACTATAAATGCGATTATTTTTTTAAGTTTGTATGTTTGTTCCTCAATCACGTCATAACGGCTGATGACAAAAGCGGTTTTATCTAAATATATAAACAAGTTATTAAAAGAAATATTAATAAAAGGAAAGATTTCACTTTGCTTTGACTGTCTTTATTTGTATTGTAACTTTCGTGAGACATACTAAATTAATTATTATGTTTTCGGCTTACTGACGTAATAATTTGACGAGGACCTCGACTAGTTTCAAGCCTTGCTAGAGGCTCATATTCATGAGCAATATTTCGCGACCCGCTACGCTACGGTAGCAGCGCGACAGTCGCCACGTCGCGGCTTGAAACTAGTCGAGTTCCTCGTTAAATTATTACGTGAGTAAGCCGAAAAACATAATAATTTACTGTCTCTTTGTTTGAACTGAATAAGCTTTGAAACTACTGGAGACATTTCAAATATTTTTTCACACATATTGAATGAACTAAATGGTATTGAGTTTGTCTTTATATTCCGTACTCTGAATGCTATTGTAACAGCTACGGTTGTGGTTGTATAGCGTTGACATTGAATAATTATAGATTGGTTTCAAGAGTAAGTACCCTGATGGGACGACATCGCCGCTAGATTTCGGATGATAAGGTTAATTATTTTATTATTACACACCGATGAAGCTGCAGGCGATATCGCGGTATAATATAAAGCTAGTAGTCTAGTATTGTCGCGGAGAACCTAACGGGTAACCGGGGCTCCGGCTCGACGTGCAGGAGAAGGAACGGGGTGGTTTTTAGTCAGTAAGAGTCTGACACTCCCTCCCGCCTCACTCAGGCGGGAGCAGTCAGTCGATGATTCTCCCCCCTTAAAATAAAGTAGTCTAGTATTATACCATTTTAAATAGGTATTACAAGTAGACAATATTTTCTTGCAATTTCCCGTAAAACTCGACTAACTGTGTTTCGAGGTGACCTCGAAGTAGGCAATAGATCAATAACTGACTAGTTGGTGCAATTAATAATAAATACATCAATATGGACGGCACTTTATACTCTATCTTTGTTATTGAGTTCCATTCCTCAAATGTTCTCAGTAGCAGCACGGATCGGAGTCTGCAAATGTGCCCGGTATATGGCAATAGGCTCACCCTCTATTACATGGGACTCATAACATAAATAGTGAAAAGTGGGTGTTACATTGTACAGTGGCATTAAGTGCCGTAATATACCCGTTCGGGAGTAAAAGGCGTGATGTTGTGTTGGATTCCCGAGAAGGAGAAAAGTATTTTCGAATGTTTACTTTAGCCTTTATTGATAGCGTTGTTTTACGCACTGAATTTTATAATTTTCTATCTCATTGATCATACCTAAGTTCATCATCGGTTCAGTCGTTTCCGTGTAAGAGCGTAACGAACCGTGTTGGCACTTTTTTGTTTGATATTATACATAGGTTATGATTCTAGAGTATCTAGTCTATAACAAAGCCGCGGAGGACTTAACGGGTAACCGGGGCTCCGGCTCGACGTGCAGGAGAAGGAACGGGGTGGTTTTTAGTCAGAAAGAATCTGACACTCCCTCCCGCCTCGCAGAAGCAGTCATTCGATGATTTTC